TGCGCCGTGCTTCTCCTCAGCCTAAGAGTGTCTGATGGCGACTTTCAGGCGCTCTGACTCAAGTCAGGTTACCCTGGATAAAACATTATTTTAATTTTCTTTTTTAAAATGCAGTCTACCAGTGCTTGTACTTGGAAATATGTAACGCATACGGCAGTAAAGGCTTGTTTTGTTTTAAAGCCAAGGAAAAAATCCAGGAAATGAAGAAAGAGCTTGATTCGCTTTTGCAAACAGCTGAGAAGGCATTTACAGTCGAGCTGCTGAAGATGCCGGTTGCCATCAGGAAAATGAAAAGAAAAGACTTGCTTAGTAAGTGTGCGTGGCCTTGTATTTGCAAGGGGTGCAGACATAAGAGCATGATGTACCCTTGACTAATGTGGGGAAACCTGTAAACTTGGTGACTTCGGTGAAAAAGTTTTCTTTGCCTGGTGAATGCTTTAAGCTCATCGGCGGTGGTGTTGCCCTGCGGATGCCGAGTCAGCGCTCCTGTCCAGGTAGGCTGACCGGTGTAACGCAGGGTGTAGCATTGGTAGGTAGCGTATGAAGTCTGGAGCTTTCTTTCATGTGTGCTCTTAAGTCATCTTATTTAAAGCCTGAAGAGACAAAGAATAATTGCAAGTCTAGTATTTTCTGTGCGTTAAAAACTTAAGCACTTCTTTCCATCTGAATCTGTTCATCCCAGCCACCGAGATTATTTTGTCTTTGTTAATTTGAAATCCTTTACTAATGAGCCTTTCTCATCTAGTCATTTACCTGTGATGATGAGTGAACAAGTTTAATTTTAAACTCGCATGTATGCAGCAGTTTAAGCTGTGGTGTACAGTCAGCATCAGATGTATGTTCTGGTGAGAACTGGTGTTTTTGGAATCTACCTTGCAGGGGCCATAGAAAGATCAAACCTAAGACTCTTGAAGAGCTTGAATTTACTGTAAGCCTTTGCTGAGTATGTATTTCGATGTCTTTCTTGAAAACTTCTGCCTAAAAGTATTAGCTCCAGCAGCACAATGTATGGGGATTTTTCTTCTTTGAGTTCAGGTTATATACTGCGTGACTAGTATCCTTTCAAAGATTAAACATACTGAAATGGCCTAAGATTTTCATTGTTGCTTTGTAGGAGTGACTATCCTGTAAAACTTGAATCTTGTTCAAATGCAACATATATGCTAGCTAAGGTTAACTACTTAAGTAACTGTAGTCCTGAATTACTTGTTCAGCTTCATAGTTGATAAGATAAGAACATGCAGATAATAATTATGCAAGTAATAGTATATAAACAAATTATACTTTCTCGAGTTACAGGTTTGCGAGGAGGGGAGGAAGTAGATCTTGATGCTGCAGTGGTAAGTGTGTGTTTTCATCACAGCTTACAGAATAGAAGTCTTCTCTCCCTGCTGTAAACTTTTCAGAGAAATGATTTTGTTTGTTTAAATAGAAGATGATATGAAAAGGCTAGATAGCCAGCCATGGTGCAGTTATGAGCATTACCTAAAGCTTTAGGGTCATCTGCAGGCAGAAATCCAGATGTTTCCAAAAAACCAAACTGGTGTTTAGCCAGTCCCACTTCTGTCACTTTCTTTTATGCCCTTTTAGTTCACTGCCTTTTGTAGGAAAATATGCATTTACTGGGCAAAATCTGTTGACTTTCCCTTGTCGGATAAACATTTTTTTTTTCAGACTGATTGCTCTCTAGAAGACATACCAAATCCAAAACTGGTGAGGACTAACAGCAAAAAAGGCAAGTCAATCCATTAATGCATAGTTTAGTTCTTAAATTTTCTTTTTTTATTGGTTTGAACAGAGCATTTCTAAAGTGAATGTTAAGCCTGAAGGATACAAGAGGGAAAAGTGTATAACTAGGAGTAGGACACACAGGTCCCCCCAGCATTCAGTGTGGAGGATCATGAGCTATGCTACCGTTAAGGTATTTTAAAACAGGAGATAAGAGTTCCTGCCCTTTGGATTTATCACTGAAAATGGCAAAAAGAGACAGATTTAAGTGACTTGTCAGCACTTTACAGTATAGCGGAAGAGCTAGGAAAGTCACCCCTGTTTTCTCATAGGTTACCCTTTGATCTCCTGCCCATCGAGGTTTGTAAGGAAAATATAATTTCTTTTCCTAATCCAAAATATGTGATGTAGAAGGACATTACCACTGAAACGTAATTATATTTTGTCTGGAGGTTGAAGGGTTATCTAGTGTCTTTTAACTGTCCCGTGTGTTACAGAGTCTGTGACAAACGCACTTAGTTTGCTTTGAACTCTGTCCCAGGCAAATGACCATCAGATAGCAGAACTGATACATAGCTGTCAGTGGGTAAATAGGCTTCAAACAAATGAGTTTGAAGTGGTGTTTTTTGCTCTTAATGAGATTTTTATTTTCCTTGTCTTTCTAACATATTTCTAGTTAAGGTAACTACAATTGTTGAATATGAAGATGCCAAGCATATTTCTGCAAAGAAAATATCTAAAAAGGTAAGTTTATTCTGAACAAGCCACACAAGAGTTTAATCAGTTCTGACCTGCTATGAACCCTGCTAGATCCATGACCAGGCAGGCCAATGGCCTGCTGTTTGTTTGAAAAATCAGTTGTTTTAAATTCAACGTATTTTAAGTTGAGCAAGGCAAACTGTAAATTAATTTCATAATGAAATGTGGTATCTGCACTTCTGGTAACTCATTCACACAGACTTGCAAGTACTGGCATAGTGATTCTCTCTTGACTTGCCAGTAAGTCTTGATGGTTTGAGGAACCATTTTCTGCTGAAACGTTAAAAAAACCCAACAAACACCTCAACTTCATGTTTTAATACATGCTTTTCTATATTTGAATGACTTGTGCCTTCTTGTCCACCTTGACCTTTAAACCAAATAGCACAGGTGTATTAATTTTACCACCTCAGTCTGTGCGATGCAGTGCCTCAGCCAGACACTGAAGTATGTAGGAAGATGACAACAAAGACAAAATTATTATATGCAGAGTTACAAGCATTAATTGTAAGAGGGCTTACAAGTTGGAAGGGTGTGTATTAGAAAGGTGGGTGTTTGTACAGAACTTCACTATGAACAAATATGTTTTGGCATTATGAAACTCTTGTTTTGGAATGCATATTTGCCATTTCATGTATATGTAGAACTATATAAAAGGTAGCACTTTGGGGCTTAACTGTTCTTTTTCAACAGGGAGTTCTTACAGTATTGTTCCCTGGAAATATCTATCGTTTTGCCTTAAAATGCCACTTTTTAACTCCAGTCTTGCATATACGTTTTCAGGTTTCCAAAACAAAGTCGTTGGTGTCATTTGCCTCTGGTTTAAATAGCAAACTGAACCCTCTTTCTAGGTAAGACTGACCTTTGATAGCTGATTTAACTCACCTGAACTTGTGAATGCTGAATAAAACTTTCCAGATAAAGTAGCTGAGATTTGAGGCCAATAGGAATACATCTGATAAAGATGTTTTCCATAACCTGAATCAGATGCCTTGTAGTGATGTGACCCCCGAACAAAAAAGCACCTGTAGCTGATGAAGGGATGTAGTTGTATCTCTCACTCACTGAATAGTGCACAGTTCTGAACCTACGTAGTCAGTATATTATTTCCAAACAGTACTTAATGGAAGAGAGTGTGTAAGGGAAATGTCTTTGTTGCTCTGTTAGGACTAATGAATTGTTCTGTAATAACTTTGCCCTTATACATAGCTGAAAGGGAGGTGTCATTAGCAGGAAAATAAACACTTGCAAAAACACCTTAGAGCTACTTACAGTCATGATGGACCAAATTCAGGTCTCACTATAAAATCTAATGAATTAAAAAATTGATGGATAACTGCATGAAAATGTTTTTGAGAAGCTCCCACTACACCTATGACTCCAGCATGCATACTTGTACCCACTAGTACTTACTTTGATAGATTCAAATCGTCTTCAGAGAAATGCAGTTTAAATAATGTATCAGTGTTTAATGTGCCTAAAAGAAATTTTTAAAAATCTTAGCCAGGTTTAATTGGGATTCTTGAATTGGGATTATAAAATTTTTAGCTCAACAAAATCAAACTAGAGAAGGCTGCTTTGCCTGGGGAAGTCTAACTTTTCAGTCTTTGAAGGTTGCTTTTATTCAAGTACACTAACACTGGGACAAAAACACATGCCCTTACAGTATCTCCAAAATGTGTGTGGGAAAAGCAAGACGAGAGGAAAAAGTGAGGTAAACTTCTGTCATCAGGATGTCTGTGAACTGAGTTAAAATCCAAAACTGGAAAAAAATGGTGCTCTGAATTCAGGTCAGCCACACAGGACAAATATCCTGAGAAGTAATCTAGAAAAATTAGTTCCTTGAAACTTCCCAAGAAACTTTATGCACACTCAAATAGAAAGCTGTGGATGCTACCTTAATTATACCCAACTTGGGTATTGCAGCCCTCTCTTACCTATTAACATGAATTATCCTTTCATTCACTTATCGTGTTAGGTCCCAAAATATCATGTCTACCTCAGATGGGCTTCTTCACATGTATATACACCAGATCTCTGTCATGGGGCACTTCAACGTTCTCCAATTCACCAGCTGTCTTATCTTCATCCTAGCTAAAACTCTACAGTAGATAAGGAAGAAATAAAAAAATAATAAAAAACCACCCCAAACTAAAACCAACAACCACATTTTTGTTTGTTTGTTTTTGCGGGGTGGGGGTGTGGGGGGGTCTAGTCAGTCTTTTGCAAGCGTGACTGAGGCTCCTAAGTCTTTTGTTTCTGATTGTAGTGCCACAGGTCTCAAAGCCACGCCGAAGGTATCTAAAAGGTAAGAGTTTTTCAGCTTGTTTCTTAATAAATAATTTTGTTAAATACCAAAACACTATGTATCTACATGAAGATCTATTAAATCTAGATTGATATTAATAGTCTGCTACTAAATTTGGTAGTGGGGATGCGAACACACTTCCTGCTTTGAGTGTGGGTGTTAACTTATGTTCTCATGGAGGTACAGGATTTGATGTCATAACTAAGCCAGTTGAAAAAACAAACAAACAAAAAAAACCAAAAACAAAACCAGATTTAGAGTGTAATTCTACTCCCACTCACTGTTGTTTAAAAGTATAGTTTACAGCTTAAACTGAATCTGAGCCCAAGCGTGATTAAAGTGTCAAAATGTCACCAATACCGCAGTGCTTAGAAAAAACAAAACAACCCCCAAAACCCCTCAAACCTCCAACCAAATAAATTGACAATCAGTTCTTTGGATATTAAACAGTTAAGGTTTTCAGTTAGTATAATTTTCCATAGACTACAGTTTGGTTTTGGCAGAAGTCATCAGCTGAAGTGAGGAGCTGAAAAACTTAGTAACTTAAATGGGTCATGAAACCAGCAAGTGGCTTAGTTTCACCTTGGCCTGCCATAAACGTCAGAGGCTTGTTGCCATGTAGAACATACCCAAATCTTACATGTTTTTTAAAGTAGAATGAAAACAATTGTATTGTGAAAGCTTAGGAATTTTGTATGGCATAAGGCATACCCTGTACCTCTGAGAGCTAGCAGCTTTGGTATTTCTTGATATTTCCCTCTGTAGTAGACAGATACAACACACATCTTATCTTAAGCCCTGAGGTATGAAGCTTCCTCCTTCCAAAACGGTAAGCGTTCACTGTTGATATTGGAGAGTGGATATTCTTGTTACTGAGTGGTCCAAATGTCAGCTTGCTCACTGGCCTGTAATGCAGGCTTGGAAGGTTACTGCAGTGTTCCAGGGTTGTAAAATGTTACCTAGTGATGCTAGTAAGTGCTGCTGATGGTTGGATTTCCTGTAGTCTTCTGGCAGAACTAGAAAAATTTAAGCATAACTGGCTTTCTGTTAGGTATGTTTGCTACTACTTGCATTTGTTTCATGCTTGAAAATTTCCTGCAGAGCATAGGAAGTTAACCTCAGAGTAACATTTCTGTTGTATTCTAGTGCTGGATTACAACCAGTTGTCTCAAGAACAGTACCTACCAGTGGAAGAGTTCAAGGCATCTTACTAAGAAGTAAATCAGTACCCCAAAATAAAACTGTTCCATTTGTAAACATTCCCCTGGCTGATGGACAGGTATCAATCCTTTTTTTTTTTTTAAAAGAAAAAAACCCAAGCATTTTCAACTTACAGTGGCTAATAAACTGTGAATAGTCTGAGAGCGATAGCTCTTGCTATCCCTAAATGAGTTGCTGCTAAGCAAAAGGAAAAAGGGTTGCCAAAGTTTTGCAGTGTAGCAGGGAAGCATGTGATTTTTCAGAAAAGCTGGCCATGCAAGTAAAATCTTTCAGAATATTTTTTTATCTTAAAACTGTTTCTCTTCCTGTTTAGACACTCTGTACAGCTGGTGGAGACCTCCATAATATTGATGTGCAACTACTAAATCAAGATACAGTACAGCATATTCATAACTTAGTGGTAAGCTTAAACTAGTAGGCTTAAATATAAGTATTCAGGCCCCTAGTCTCAGGTTTTAATGAGACTGTCATGAATGCAAATTCCAAGTGCTTTAATTCTTCTGAGCATAAGCCTAAATTGGTTGGCATAAATTGGAGGGAGGGATAGGGCAAGGGAGGAACAGGGAGCGGAGAACTGCTGCACATAGATAATGTGTAAAAGTAAATGCATTTAAATAAGCATGTGCAGTTTGTTAATTGCCTGGAGGACAACAGAAGCATAAACTCTTCCTTGTAGATTGCTCTTGTGTGTCTCTCCTACCATGTGAGCAAACTGCTATTCTCTATCTCATATTCACAAAGGCTTACAAAGCTACAGCCAAGTTTCAATTCTTGTTATCATCTCTCTATTATTCTACGTCCCTTGCTGAGTAAGAACTATATTCCTGTTAATTCTGTGCTGCAATTGAACAGTAACTGCTTTACCTTTGATTCAGGGAAGTAAATTGTTTTAAAGCAGAATGAAGTTGAACAGACCTTTGTAGTATGTAGTGCCTGACTCTTCTGAAGATGAGGGTACCTGGGCTTTTGGATGAAGTAATATGAGCCCTAGAAATCCATCTAGACATAAGAAATGTTAATCAGTTTACAGTCTTGCAGGTATTTAGAGTTGAATGCAGCTACTTGAGTTACACAAAAGGTCTCAAAGTTGTTTTGTATTTTATAACATGGACCTGCCTCTGTTAGGTACAGAATGGTGGAGTGCTTGCTCACTGCTTGCTTTAGCAATAGTGACTTTTCTTTCTTCTTCCAAGTTCTGTTGAGCAGCTCGAACTAAAATGAATTTTTCCCCCTTTAGAGTGAGCTGACTGTACTATGTGGAAAGGCAACAGCTAAACCGAGTTAATGGAACTGTCTTGGACTACAGAATATGCATGACAGCTCTTGCTTGCTGCCTCTGACTTCTTTAGATAATGTCTATAATATCTTAATAAACTGTATACTGCCCAGTAAATGTTTTTATATAAAAGCTTACAATGTGATCTGTGTATTATTACATTCCTGTTATCTCTGTGAAGGATACAAAAGCAGAAGAAAATAATTCTATTTTTCCAACTTCTTTATAAAAGGCTTAGTTAACATCTAACTTCAGTTCACAGTAAAATGAACAGTAATATGTTGTATGTAGGAAATAAGTTTTAACTCTGATACTATAAATTGGACTCCTAGTTATGTAAAAAAAAAAAGCCAGCCAATTCATAAGAGAGGGCTCTTTAATGTCATTCTTTCATGCATGCCACAAGCAGAATGTAATGTTGGGTTACTACTAATGTTTAGTCTTCCCAGTATCCATCTCCTTGAATCTAACTCTGGAATTAAGCTGAGATGCAAATTTCTAAATTCAATAGCATTTTAAGGCATGTAACTTTAGTTCTGTGGTGGCATACATGAATCTCACACAGGAATAAAACTTATTTCCAGTCTTGTGCTGTGACATGACAGTAACGTGCAAGATGACAGGTAGTAATCCAGGCTGTAGGGCTATCAACCCTATTTTTTTTAGTACTTACGTACTTTTGAGTAAGTTGTAGGCAAAGGCTTTTAATATCTTCCCAGGTGAAGATGCAGTCCAGCAGTCACTCTGCTCTGGGTGCTTTAGTTTTTTTCAGAACTTGAAGGGGCACTTGGCTTTTACTCTGCCAGTGGTGATTTCAAAGCGTTTTCACTGTGGTAAAGCACACTACACTCTTTAAACTAAAATATTAGTTTAAGAATGAAATGTAGATTAGTTTTTTTCCTTCTGTTCTGCTTCTACCCTTGTTTCACTTAAGGAAGCAAAGGTCACAAGTTTCAAATAAGGAAAAAAAAAAAGCTTTCTAAGGATGGGAGACAAAACTTGCAGAGAACATGAAGTTAAAATACTATCATCAAAACTATGCGCTCTCACTTGGAAACCAGAAAATACAGGAATAAACCTCTCATTCAGATTATACATGAAGTTCACAGAACATTTATGAATTAACATCCATTTTCCCTTAAATTGATGAGAGCATCATATCAATGTGGTATCAGCTTTTGATTATTGCAGGCAAATGGACATTTCAAGATGATATAACTATTCACTCCCATACTACACTAAGGTAACCAAAATTGCAATGCAGTACTGAAATCTGAACGTGTATTTGGAATGTCTCACTTTTTTTAAAAGGTATATAGTGTTAGGCATGCTTTGAAAGACAGGCCAAGACACTGTTCTTGTGGATATCACTTGGGGTGAAGAATTGGTGGTAGTCATATTACAAAAATAGCTGCTAGTGTTTAATCCAGCCTGCTCTTGTTGAAGTATCTTCTGAGTTGCAACTTTCAGACTGGCTTTTTTTTTTGTGTGTGAAAAAAATGGCTACTAAGAGCTGGGAGAGCATTTGTGGACCCTGACACAAAGGGCAAATTCACAGGATGTACACTGTAATGAAGCACAAGGACTCTTCAGTCAACTGAAGTCATTCTTACAAATAGTCACCAAGCTAGAAAGCCTTCAGAACTCCCTTTTTGACTACAATATTCCTTTTAAATGTGGTAAGACAGGCATACAATTAAATGCCCCACACCTCCTTCACAGTGATTGACAGAACTCCATACCTGCATCAGCCTAAGGCTACAGCGGAAGGCTATGGGTTAATAACTAAAATAAAATTTTCCTATTACATCCTATTTAGAGGGCTGGGAAATTGCTGCATATTAACAGATAAGTCTTTGAACATGTTCTATTTTTTCAAACAGCAGTAATCTTTCCTTCCACTGATTACTTCTAACTTTGCAAACCTATTTTTCAAAAGAGCATAGCCTCATCTTTTATGTGAAGAAGAACCATGCCCCTGTCAGTATCTTATGACTAAATATTCACTGCAGACACCTTGGTAAATTAAACACACACAAGAGGACAGATAAGAGACTTCTACAAGAGTCAACTTCAGGTCAATTTTAGTCCCTGTATATGCAGAAATAGACATGTCACAGAATAAGCTAGACCAGACATCTTGAATTTTTTTTCCTTTCAGTTTCTTGAGGCCAATCCAGAAGATACAAAAAAAGCATCAACTAGAAATGTGTTCTAGTACAGTTTTGGTGGTTGCTTTTTCTTCCTCCCCCAACATAGGGAATAGTCATTTGTTCATAGTACCACCTCTAATGTAAGTACATATGTTCCAACTGTTTATTACTGAGAACACTCAACTAATGTTTATTCAATTATTGATCAGACAGTCACATTGGCCCAATTAAAGCATTAATAGCTATTTTAAACATTAAACTTCAGCAGGGAACTACTAAAGCATTAGTAACTGTGGTAGTATATTACTTGCAATGTAAATGCTGGAAAGCAAAGACAGTGTAGATTGTGAATTTATGTAAGGTTTTTCTACACTACAGCTTTGTAAAGGGATACCCTCTTAGTAGAGCAGGAGATATATATAACAAGGGCAACTCTGAAGAAGCTGGCACTTAATAAAAGATGCTGCTGTCAGGAGGCTATAACAACACAGTCTCAGGCCTGAAGCAGAACTAGACTAACTCATAACATCAACTTCCCCTCCACTCTTTCACTTCAGCCTGCTATCTATAAAGTTCTCATGAATCCTTTCCACTATCCCCCCCAAAAAATAAGGAGATAAAAGTTTAGAGTACATACTCCATTTTCCCAGAAGGTAAATCCTAAGCAGAAGACAGACATTTTAATTGTTTTAGGATTATAGGTTAAAATGACCGACTTCTTGGAGAAATCAATCGGGAGAATCAGTATGGCACCACAGCTTCATGAAAAGCAACCTGAAGTTTTAATAAATGAAAATAAAGGTTTCCTAGATGAGAATGCCACAGCATAAGAAGTCAATACTAAAATTCAGGTCAAACAGTATTTATTCTTGCTTCAGTTTTAGAGTCTATAACAAGGTTGTTCAGCAACGCTCAAATGCCACTGCCTACCGAAGCACATGGAAACCCTTGGAGTTTGTCCCTCCAACCTCATTGGTTAAGTGTCAACAACTATCTGAGCAATAATTAAACAAGTCACACTTCAGATTTGTAAAGAAAAGGAGAGGCATCTTTCAACTTCCTCACCTCAACACAGAGAGAAACCTCGCTATGGAGAAGCAGCTTACCAACAGAAGTTCATGCACAGTTCTTGAACACTGTAACAAAACGCATAGATAACCAACTGTACCTGGTAATTAAGGTCACATTTTTGTTTTGTTGTGGTATTTTTACCAGTTAAAAGCATATAGAAAGGAACAGAACTGAAGCTGTAGAATTTGTCTTAATAGTTAAAACAGTAAGTGAAAACTACTGGAAAAGTAACAAAGCCATCTACATTTAGTATGTTCCCAGGTTAAAAAAAATCTTTGTCAAGTACAACACTAATCGCCATCTCTTTACAAACTGTGCTAATGCAACCGCAACTTGCGGGCATCAGGTTCATTTTTACAAAGATTTTTTTTTAAAACAGGAAGCATTTCTCTAGGAAGTCAGGCTGAATCAGGCTTTGAATTGAATTCAAAGGCAAAGAAAAAGACATCATTATTTTGGTATTTAATCATCTTAATTTAAAAGGTTTTTTTATCTGCTGATCGAACTGAGATATCCTTGTGTTTTCTTCAGACAAAGGGGACATGGCTGCAACCTTCCCCATGCCCATTTAGTCATATCTCACTTCAAGAAGAGACTTTTATGTGGCACACAATTGTTATCTAACTGCAACCTAGTCTTAAAGCAGCTTCAGCCTCCCTGTATTTGTAAAATGCCTACCATCAACAGTCTCTTCATACACAAAATAGTTAAAGCCACTGGAGAAGCAAGAGTTACAAGGCAAAAGAAATATATTATACACCAACTGCTTTTATTTAATTTCAGAAACCGTTCACAAGATGGTAGAAAAAACTTACAACCACTTCTAATTTAGTCTTCCATTGTTCCCAGTCAGCTCTAAACCCATTATGTGCAAAGCCCATTTACCATGCATCTAGATGATAGATACAGGCTATGAAATTCTTTATTCTACTTGTAGCAGCTTATGCAGGTGCAGCCAAATACCAAGCCTCAGGACAAATTGTACACAAACTTTACAATGTAGAATTTGAATTTAAAATATGAAACTTAAAATCTACACAAAACTGGTAAAAATCAAGCACAGATACGAGGACAAACTTAAAACCCATGTGAAAAGGAGTCTCGTCTTCCTTTCAAGTGCTTTATTCTGCTACACAGTCAAAATGAAGATGTAAGCTTGTGGTTAGTTTAAATTACACTCTGTAGATACTATAGACCAATTTAAAAGTTACACATACAGCAATAGATGTCCATTGGTTCATCTGGATTATTTATACAATCCAACTGGATTGCTGAAAACAAGTCAGGCAAAATTTGAAAGAAAATCCTTGTGCAACTTTTTAGACAAACTCTTACTGATGGGCACACTGTACCCCAGGTCCATGATGGCTGCTTTCTTCATCAGAACTATCATTATAAGCTTCACGTCTCTGACCACCACCTGAACCACGAGTGGTATCAAATTCCTGAAGATCTACCTCTTCTGCATCACCAATTACATTGGGAAATTCTGGTCTAGCTGGCAGAAGATCTTCAAGTTCCTGCCCCAAAAAAGAGAATTGTATTCAGTACTGCATCTACAACTGCTAAATAAAGCGACCAGTTTCCCACAACTTCAAGACTCCCTCTCAGAGCAGGCTTGGTTTAGAAGTCTTAAGCTGATGTAAACCTGGAAGCACATACTCATTTAAAAGTATCCAAAGTATTTGTATCAACTGGAAGACACCACATAAAAAAAACCAACAGCTCTGCACATCATCAACCAGAAGTGCCATCAGTAAATACAGTTGCTGAATACTCTGAAAACTTACCACACAGCAGCAGGAAGATTCTTCCTCCTGCCCTCGTCTGCCTAACATCTGCACAGTTCTTAAATACAGGTTCCACACATTCATATTCCAACGGGTATTTTCAAGTTACATGTTGCCCATAAACAATGTTAAAAGAGCAACCGTACTATCACCTAAATTTAAGCACTGAAAGCAAGCATGTGAGGTACAACACACGCACTTTGCATACACTGTCAAATAAGATCACCACATTTATGCTTGAAAAACTACTTACTGAAAGCTTTTCTGGGCTAATCCAGTTATTTTCAGGAAACTGAACGTCAAATTTAATGTAAAGATCCCCCTTCTCAAAAGGATTACGATACTGTGGCATTCCTTCACCTCTGACTACACGAACACAGCCTGTAAATCAAAGAAAAGTAAGCTGGAGACTGCTACTTCAGAACAATTCTTCCTCTATACAGTTCTCTTCCTTTCTCCAGCCTAGGTTCAGTTAACAGGACAAGAAGAATGGGATTAAGTGTTAAGAATCACAAAAGCATAGTCAAAGTCATCCTTATCAGGTCAAGCTTACCTGGTTCAATTACTTTTCCAGGAGGATATTTAACCACAATCTGACGTCCATCAAGGTGCTTAAATGTGAACTGAAATCCACACAGTGCTTCAACAAGTCCAATCTTGTGCGTCATATGCAAGTCATTCCCATCCCGCTGGAACACCTAACAAACAAAAACAGGAGATGACTCTTCTAGTACTACAATCGTATCTCCACCAGACTTGTTATTTAGAACTCATTATTATTTATTCTTAAAATTCAGTGTCAGAGCAACAGCCTTTGTATAAAGTTAACTTCATTCTGTTAATTCAAATAGCTTAACATGCTTGGAAGGTTTGTGCCTGATGAAAGTGTCATCTAAGATAAGGCAAACCACACTATATACTATGAGGTGAGCTCCAATTAAACAAGAAGGCCTGCATAGCAGCAGTGCTCTCTTACCCCCAAGATCTTCCCCACAAGCAACCTATTAACAAAACCCTATGACAGTGTGACACTACCCCTGCACCAGAGTACAAAACACACATCCTTGTTTCTCAACATTAACTCATCATCATGCATATCTGCTTCAGCTAACTTCATCTACAGCCAGGCTTCTTTGATCACTTAGTCCACAGCTGTCATAAGTGATCTTGAAGCCATATCACACAGGATTCTTAATCAGAGTAAATGTAAGCTTTATCCACTGGCAGAACCATGACTCTCACCTCAAGGGAAATTTTAAGAACGCTAAAAGCTTTAGTAAAAGTCAGTCTAGTTTTACTCACTAGGACACAAGGTACCATATTTTTCAGAATTGTTATCACTGTAAAACTAGATGTAGTTCATTAGAAGACTAAGACAGAAGTGGCATCCACCATCTGGAATCTGATGCCGTCATCTGACTTCCGTATGCTTACGGACTGTTTCTCCCTTATCATAGTCCGAATCAACTGCAATGCCACATTTCAACCAGTATTACAGAAGAAAGAAGAGAGGAATGTGTAAAAAGGTATGCAAAACTGATTTGACAAGTTAGCAGTCCTTGACACAGCTTTGAAAAGCTTACAAACCACCTGATTTTCAGATAACCACATTATATCCTTAATACGTGACTGGAATTTAAGTTTGTAACCAGTGCTACTCTTTCTGTCACAACAGATTCCACACACCACCACCCCCAGCCCCTCCATTCAACATTCTTTCCAGAGTATAACACACAAACTGTTTCTTATCTCACCACACTAATACCTGGCCTTTCTAAACAAAAGCATTCAAAAAAAAGCAGCTGTCATCTCAACTCTGCCCTATGGAAGTTTTAACACAGAAAAAGAAAGATTGAAATATTTAATTCAGAAGTGCAATGTACACACTCCAGAACACAGTAAGCATAAGCCTTAAACTAAACAAAGCAAACGCAATTGTTTCATACAAGTGAATCAGTAACATCACCATTCTGTGTTATGTTTCCAGAACCATAGTAGCAGAGATAGAAAGCACTATCTGGGGATTTTAATAGGAGTTCCCTGCCATGTCACAAGACATTAAAAAAAAAAAAAGCAAGACTTAGCATTTTGTTAATGTCACAAGCAAAGCAGCTTGAAGTTAACAACCTGAATGGCTCTTCACTACATACACTGTATCAAAGCCTGAGCTTATCCAAGAAAGCGACCTTTTATTAGCATTAGGAAGGACCAGAATCTACAAGTCCTCTGGCTACAGACTTGCAAAATTTTTTCTGGCTAACCATGAAAGCCATGTTACTTGCTATAAATCTATTAAAAGCTATTCACCATCTCTCCCAGAGCTGCAACTATATGAATTACTTTAAAATGAACAGCCATCTATATCACTTTAATATTAAAGACTAGGATAAAAGGCATTTAAAATATAAAGTCAAATGCATTACCTCATTCTCCTTTTCTTGGAGTAAGAGGACAATATCGCCTGGTTCCACACCTGGAGCCTGATCTGCTTCTCCACTGAATGTAATTCTTTGCCCATGTTTCATGCCTTTGTCTACATGGACTTCAAGTATTTTTACCTCTTTGATCACCTTCTTCCCTTCACATTTTTTACAGCGGTCTTTTTCGTTAATTACTTCACCTAAAGAAAGACAAATTTTGAGTTCAGAGATTTCCACATAATTGCATCCAATTCTGAAGAGAAACTATTTTAAAGCAGGCTGAAGAATTCATGCAACACAACTAGTGATTTAGATGTTGGCTTTACAAATTCCTCACAAAAGGAAAGCCAGGCTCAATTTACCCTAGCTGGGAGAGAGGGAAGGAAGGAAAAAAAAAAAAGGCGGCAAGGGGAATACAAAGATACACATAACCCTCCAAGCTGTCTTATCGAGGATTTTGAAAAGCAAGAGTACTTTAGAGAAAGGCAAAACAAGACTTTGTCTACAGCTTCTAGTGTTCCTTATATCTTAGACTCCAGTATCCTTACCATTCAACTTACTACTCAAAAATAAAAAGCCTAGTTTTCCATTCCTTGTTATGCAGGACTATGACAGCTGTGAGAGACAGGATGAAGCCAAAACAAAACTGAAGTATCTCCTCTCCCTTAGAAAGTCAGAATAAAAATTTCAAACTATTTCAGTGAATTCAGAAAGCTTAGTTCCGCTTTAGTTAACAGTGAAAAAAGGATTACTGGGTTCTGCTCACTGACAGCCACCTTTTCCAGTATACCACCACAATCTACTACATAAATGCAGCCGCTAGAACTACAGAGTCTTGCATACAAAATGGGGGGAAGACAGTCAGTCAAACCACAGTTTCATGCAAGAGCAACAGATAGGTTTTCCCACAGAAAGGACCTAAAATTTTCTGACACATAAGGGATTTCACTTCTATACTCAAACTGAATAGGTTTTCACATTGTTGTCACCTTTAGCAAGGCAATTACTTTTTCCAGAAAGCCAAAGGATGACTATCCAAAATGGCTTAAATCCTTTGTTCTACCTCATCTTCATTTTTCAAGTAAGCTATTGTCTTTGTACAGAGTAAACAAAATATTAGGCACACACATTGTACAATTTCAGTACTTATTTCCAATACTGCTCTAAGTGCCACAAGCAGATGCACTTGGCTTAAAACATTAAACTTGTCAGCTTAAACCACCTTTCTGTGAAACAAAGCATAACATTATAATGCAGTTGAAACTACTAAATATGTAGATTAGGTATGTAAACTGTGAAAACAACACATTCAAAAACAACATAATTTATGAAATGTTTTGACTAGTCACAAAATACAACTCTTGTAATTTCTGAGTATTGTGGAGAGTAATCTACAAGGCAACATTACTACTCTGCAAACTGCAGAAGATCTAAAAAGGAGTCACATGAAGTGCAGATCATGTGCTGAACTTGTTCGTTCCCCCAAACAGAACCAATTCAGCAAAAGGTATCATCTTAATTAAAAGAAGTTAAAATCCAACTTTAGGTTTCTATTTTTAACCTAAATCTGTCCTTGGATATTAGGAGACTGCAAAAAGACAAAGACCTCCTAAAGCAACAAAATCTTGGTTTTCACTCTAACACAAGAGTAATAGCAGTAAGTAATATTCACATCTAAGTGTTTTTTAAAACAATCAATCCATCCCTACTGTTTGAGCTTCCAGGCTGCTTTTCAGTACATTAAACACTGTAAATCTTGCTGTTGTTCCGAGTAAAATTGTTTTCCTCCATGTTGACATCAGATTGAGACCAAACTGACTAGATGGGAGCAAAACTGTTCTGGGTTAAGTTCCTCCTGAGATTTAACAAGGAGTTTGAATCCTACTAAATGCATTTAGTAACATAGAACAGCTTGGCCTACCTTCTCCATTGCAGTCAGAGCATACAGACTGCATCTTTCCAGGAGCCAGCTGTCTGATCATGATACGTACACCTCTACCCCGGCAGGCATTACATTTTTGAACGGCTCCAGCCTTCCCTCCCTGCCTAGAATAGAAAGCACCAGTTGCATGAAAAGTAAGTTTTTCAAAAACATATGACAAAAAACCCCATAAACTCCACATCAGTAGGTTAGCATGCCTAATTTCATTACCAATTATAATTAGGTTCCCTCCTCCTCCCTTCCCCCCAAACAAAGCCCTTGAATAGTTCCAGTTCCATCAACAGTATCATTCAAGTTCAACGATTTTTTAGTCTGAGAGCAGGCTCCAGAAAGTCAAATACTGATAAAGATCTGGCATATGAGATGCTTCACTACACCATATGCCAACAAAGCAACCAGAGAACTCAAAAACAGAAATAAACTTACCCATTACATGCACTACAAAGGACATTCTTGCTAAGTTGTAGTTTAGTTGTCTTTCCGTTATACAGATCTTCTAAAGAGACTCTATAAAATAAAGCATTTCTCCTCAGTTATCATTTAACAACTTACTTTCCCTATGTAATTAAAATACTTGCCTAGGACAAATTAAAGAAAAACAGATCTTCATAAGACGACTAAATCTGCTACTAAAGTAAGATTTTAAAGCACTATTTTAGCTTTCACAAGGAGTCATTAAAAACTATTCCATACACACAAATATACACATGTAATCCTGAACATAGTTTCAGAAAAAAAGCTGTGATTTAATCAGAAGAAACCAGATAGGATTGCTTGTGTTTCTCAACAGGAAACAAGCTGATCTAGCATTTTAGGTTTTAGTATATAGTCATAGTTGATTTTTTTTTTTTGTTCTACCAGGCAGGTAAGAAACAAACCTCTCTAGACAGTCCTGACAATATTTAGAGCACGCATACATGAGTGTACACACATAATACTTACTACTGTATTGGGCTTTCTACACAAGAGAGTTTAGCAGGGAGGGGTTAGCATGTCCCCAAGGCCACTTAATTCTTTAGATTTGTTCATGTTTCAATTTTTTTTTAGAAGCTTTTGAATACACTATCAAACTCCAATAACATTCATATATTCATAGAAGTTTATGAACACATTTAGTATTTCTCCTAAGAGTTTGAGTTGAAACTTCTATCCAATAACAATGTACTGAGAAAAGGTTGCCTGGCATCAGTGTTTACAAATAACAACAAAACCAAAGCTAATTAATAATATAGCATGCAGTACTAGCTACTAAACTAAGCAAGCACGTAAAAGCAAACAGACTTCACTAAGCACCGTTTGCCAACCACAGGAAAGATGCAGTTTAACTTAAGAACTTAGAAAGGACCTGCTCAGCAGGCAAAAAGCCAGTCATGACTGCAAGCAGGGATCGACACAACACAATTAGCTGTGATAGTCAAGCATGGCTTAAAAAAACCCCAAACCTGCCACATACACATTTCCATTAATTATGCAGTGCAACTTTAGTTCCAACTGGTATTCTGCTACGAATGCAAGTCAACTTAAGTCTTTCCAAAGCCTTAGTATCTCTGCTTCCCTAAGAATTCAGCTAATGAGTAATACTTGGTTGTTGAATGCTTTTTCAGATTAGAACTTCCAAACATAATTAAGGAGCAAAACCAAGGAAAATAATGCTAACAAAGTATATACAGGCTAGTAACCAAGCAAAGCAAATTATTAGGTAGTCTATAAGATTAACCAATCATGAAAAGCAACACAAGATGATTGCCTTCTGGGCTAAACACAATACGCAGGTCTGAAAAGCAGGTGCAGACTGCAGAATCTGAGAAGCATATCAATAATATAAACTAAAAGAGTCAAGTACCAATCAGGAAAGCTTGACATTACAAATTGCAGTATTAAGATACTCACTTGAGTGGATGCATCATATCTTCTCCTCTTCTTCTACCATTACGACTTCTACTCTGACCACCCATGAAATTGAACAATCCACCACCAAAGATATGGGAGAAAATATCGTCCATTCCACTGCCTCCACCGCTACCTTCTCGAAGACCCTGTTCTCCATATCTATCATATAACTCACGTTTCTCTGGATTTGACAATACTTCATAGGCAAAGCTTATTTCTTTGAACTAGAAGAGGAACAGAGTCAAAACAGTGCATGATAATTTAGAACTTCAAGGGAGCATTTTACTACTGCTTCTTACCCAGCATGAACACTCAATTAAGAAGGTACACAACAGAACAGTTTTCCACCCTCATTCTAACATGCAAGACTTAAAAGTCAGACTTGGGCTTAGCTGTGTTACTTCTTATCATGAAATATGACATTTTATTGCAAAACCTCATTGACTTTGTTCTTTACTGTGCCTAGCATAAGACAGTTTTCTTACAAACAAAAAAAAAAACCCAACCAAAGAAGAAAATGCACAAGTATGCAATACTGCAGTAGCCAACAGGCAAAAAAAGCCAGTTACATACTAAGGGCAAAGACTTCAAGATAAGTTAGGCACTTAAAATATGCTAACAAATTGAGCAACTTACTAAAATGCATATTAATGTGTTTATCCTCAAAACAAATTAATATCTTTTCATAGCCATCTCTGCTCACCTCTAAGCAACCATTAGAGCTTCAGTTCTGTGAAAGAGAATCAGCTGAGTCAACTTGACTTTTTTTAATTGCTATTATCATAACAAATCTAATTCAGCCTTCTCACATATTCAATTTGGTTTATGCTGCAGCAGTTTCAAGAACCTCCACACATACATTTTTCCACATTGGAAAAACTTGGAAAACTCACTATCTTTTTCAAAGACCTATGTAGATGCCAATGCCAGTTGACATCATCTCAGCAGATGAAAAGAGGCAGTTTGTCCCTCAGCATTACCTTCTCAACCAATTTGACTCAGCCAATTGCTGCATTTTTTTTCCACAAGGTACACTGGTAGATTTTGAGATTGGGAAGAAGCAGACAAGACAGGGTTCCCCCTCAGTTATTATTTTTTAACTTGTAACAGCAAGTCCCCAACACCTGTATTTGGTTCCTCAGATGCTACCATGATAGCAAACTTCAAGAGTTTAAAAAAAAAAAAGTCTTACTTTGTCCCCTGCATTTGGATTCTTATCAGGATGGTATTCCTTGGCCAGCTTTCTGTATGCCTAGTTGAAAGACGTACAAAATTAGTTTAAACTTTGATTAATCAGTTCTTTTCCGAGAAACTCAAGCAGTGTCTTCAGGAAGAAAGAAAATCCTAATAAAGCAAAGTGAGAAAATGAGTGTTTTGAAACCACTCATACATCAAAAGGATACATAAATTCTGACATTACTATATGCATAAATTAACTACACTTGGATTTAAACATAACCATAGCACACAATAGCTAGAACTAGTTCTCCTGCTTATCTTCATTAACTTACGTGAAGAATTATATCAGACTTTCATTAAACTTACTTACTTCACAGAATCCACTCAAAACCTACAATATAACAATTTAAGCTTAAACCCAGTTGACTTTCACCTCAATCACAGCAATACATTAACAACAAAATGGCTGCCTCAGCTTCTCATTCAACCTTATCAGTCAATCCTCACAATCACTTTATTCTTCCTTACCTATCAATAACGGAAGATTTCATCTCACTTTGAACTGAGTATATAAGTTACATGTGCAGAAATGACAGATCATTGCTTTTATTTAACTTTTCTAAAACAGTACGAGTAAGCACAGCCAAATCTCCCGAAGATATTTTCAGAATGCTTTTTTTTCTGACCAGTACTTTGACTCTAAGAATCATCACTTTTTCTATAGCAGTCCTTCATCTGTTTTGCTTATACTGTAGAGGATAAAACAAGTAACAGGACAGGCACAGATTTTTCCTACAATTTGAGTTTTTGACAGTAAAGACCTCAACTCTTCCCCTACTATACCTCAACACCCCTCAGAAACAATCATGGACAGATATGAAAAGTTACATGGTATACAATCTTTTATTTTTGTAATTATACATATTAAGAAAGCTACAGTGATGCAACTGCAAACAACTGAAACACTGGTTCTTACAGTCGATTTTTCAAAAGCTCTCTTTCTGTAGAGCTGAGCATCTAAACTAGCTCTTCAGAACTACAATGTTGAGAGCTTTACACACAAAGCTTTACAGAGATCACAACTTTCCATTTTGTACTGGAATAAGCAAGATTCCTCTTTTTAAATCTGCAGTTACTTCTTTTTACTGATTATCTTGAATTACTTGTATTTTTGCATGCAATCAAGAAATAAAGTTTGATATGGAACTAACGAAACAAAATCAGAAAACGGATATTACAACACAAATATTCTAACCCTTGGTAAGCATACAGAACAAAAGTCATAGGTCTTATAGGACAAATTACCCATCAGTAACAGAAAATAATCTTCCACAAACCTACACATTCTGTAATAATAATGGATTTCCCCCACATATTTTAACAAGTCTAACCAAGAAAAAAAACAAACAAACAAAACCAGGATGCTACCCTGAAAATCTGCATAACATTATCTAACCAGGAAAAAAGGAGCTTGCATGGTGATTTTTAAAAAGAGAGAGCACTCATGTCTTGGCTGATAACAGCATTCCAGTTTAGAGCAATTCTGAAGACTACCCATGGCCCAAAAAGGAAGGTACCACTATTTATTTAATCAGAAACAGATCCAGAATCAAGGTCTACACTGGCACTATATTGTAACTTCGGCAGGAGTTAATTTAACTAATCAGTGAAGAAGCCTGTTCTCTCAGCCCCTTTTGATTAAGCTATTACCAATTTGTTTTCACTTTCCTACACTATTATATAGATTAAAATATCAGATTAATAAAGCATCCGTGTGACCTTTCAGTGACGGTAAAATATAGATGATGAACTTCTTGTTGCAGGCAGTTGCAGTCTTTACATTCCATGATAGGTCTAATCTATAGCAATTAATATTGACCAGCGCAGGTTATCCAAGTGGAAAACTGCTGTCAGTTTGTCATTCTTACAGGACACAAACAGATAACTTTTGGAGAATTCAGTAAGAAAAAAAAAATATTCCACTTGATTGTGCTCAGTACACAGCACTATCTTCTCACCGCATGCCTTCTACTTCTAACGCTATTTCAACACTGCAATTGCCTACCCCTGCACAAATTAGGCTATCACACGCATGATGGGTAACGCACAGTTGTTAATATCAGCACCACCCATCAGCAGAAGCAGGTCACTGCTAGTAAACTGTCCAGTTAATTATCCTCCCTCACGTGTAAATGGTCATTAAGTCCCTTTAGAAAAAACTGGTTTATACACTACAGAATGAAATGGACGTAGTGAATTGTTACAATGATGATCTGGCTCCAAGTTTTCGCTTGGCTTCTTTGTTTACCCTACCTTGGGGCTTTCGGCCCGGGAGGGATCAAATATATGAGCAAAACGAAACCCTACTAAGGCCTACACGTGGGCCAGACAATGGCACCCGTTAGAATCTACTGGTCCCTCACGAGGATTTTTACACCCAAAAAGCCTTTCACCGGCTGCGAACACCGCTCTGCCGCGCGGGAGGGGCGCGGCGCTGCGGGGGCGAGACGGGCAGAGCCCCGGCGGCGCC